TTTGCTTTTACTGATATTTCAATGACAAATAAACCAACAACACATGTAAGCAACAACAGCTGTTTCGAACATTGGTTTTATTGGTTTTCATGACACCAAATTAAACCAACATTGGTTTACAAAAACGACAATAAGCAAAACCGACATGGTTTCTGTGACAGCCCTGACAGAGAAAGAATAATCCGATTTGGCCCCAACTTTGCAAATCCTAATATTTCTATCAGTGCTTTGCCAGATGCGAATATTGACAATATCGGTCCACTCCATCAAGTACCTCCCCCACAAAGGGTCAACATTTTGAATAATTATAACTCCTATAAAATGTAATATAAGGGTTCGATTGTCTTCAAATTTCACACATCCCAATATTTTCATCAACCCAAGGTCTGTTGCTACATCCCAATATTTTTATCAACCCAAGGTCTGTTGCTAAGATGGAATATATCGGTCCACTCCTTATGGTATCTCCCCCACAAAAAGTCGAAATTTTCAAAAATATATATTTTTTTTCTGCACGGAGAAGCAATAATCCAATTTCGCTCCAACTTTGCAAATCCTAATATTTGCCTCAGTTCTCGGTCTGGTGCATAAATGGGTAATATCGGTCCACTCCATCAAGTACTTCCCCCACAATAGGTCAAAAGTTTTAATAATTATAATTCTTATAAAATTTGATCTAAGCGTCCGATTGTCTTCAAATAACGCACATCACAATATTTTTATTAACCCAAAGTCTGGAGTGAAGATGGAATATATCGGTCCCACGAAGGGTCGAAATTTTGAATATCCATGTAGCTTATAAAACACGAAATTAGCTCCCGTTTCCATTCAGACTTCCCACATTTTAATATTTTTATCAACACAAGACCTGTTATAAAGATGATAGAGATCGGATCATATCTTGTGGTACCTTCCCCACAAAGGGTCCGAATATTGAATAACCGAAACGATTATCAAATTCAAAATTAGCATTCGATACTCTTCAAATTTCACACATCTCATTATTTCTACCAGCACAAGATCTGCTGTGAGGATGGGATAAATCGGTCTACTCTTTCTGGTACCCCCCCACAAAGGGTCAACATTTTGAATATCTGTGAAGCTCATAAAATAACCTCCGATTCCATTCAGACTTGGCGCATATCAATATTTCTATGAACAAAAGATTTGTTATAAAGGTGGTTGAGATCGGACTATTTCTTCTGGTACCTGTCCCACAAAGGGCCAACGTTTTAAATAACCAAAGCGATTATAAAATCCGAAATAATCAACCGGTTCTCTGTATATTTCACACATTCCATTACTTCAACTAGCACAAGATCTGCTGTAAAGACGGTATATATCGACGCACTCCTTCTGGTACCTCGGATCATTTTTTTCTGGTACCTCCCCCAACAAAGGGTCAAAATTTTGAATAACCAAAACGATTATAAGATCCAAAATAAGCATCCAGTTCTCTGTATATTTCACACATTCCATTACATCTACTAGCACAAGATCTGCTGTATAGATGGGATATATCGACGCACTCCTTCTGCTACCTCCCCCATAAAGGATCAAAATTTTGAATATCCATAATGCGCATGAAACGCGAAATTAACCTCTGATTCCATGCAGACTTGGCCCATCTCAATATTTCCATCAACACAAGATTTGCTATAAAGATGGTAGAGATGGGACCGTTCCTTGTGGTACCTCCCCCACAAAGGGTCAAAGTTTTGAATAACCAAATCGATCATAAAATCCGAAACAAGAATCCGGTTCATATTTCACAAATCTCGTTTTATACCCTCCACCATAGTATGGATGGATGGATGGGTATATTAAGTGTGCCATTCCGTTTGAAACACCTCTTGATCGGCATACAATTCTATGTCGATTTAACGATGTCCGTCTGTGGAAATTACTCTAGCTTTCGAACGAAATGAAGTATTTTGATAAAATTTTATTCAAATGTGTGTTTTGTCTGCAGGACTTTAGCGGTTATTGAAAATGGGCTCTATGGGTCCACGTTTATTTCTAGCCCCAATATAACTGTTCCATCCAATATTCGGTATTTTGATGATTTTGGTGACATTGTTCATCGGAATAGTTTCAAATTTCGTAAGAATAGTTCTGAATGGGTACTACAGTCTGTGACGGTTAGCTAGGTCCACGTCTTTGCATAGTCCCCATATAACGGTACCTCCCTATATTCGATATTTTGATTATTTTAGCGACATTGTTCACCGGAATTGTTGCAAATGTCGCGTTTGCACTTCGTAATTGGTAATACAGCCTGTCACCGTAAATTGTCAATGCAGGTCTACGTCTTCACATAGGTCCCCTATAACGGCACCTCCCTATATTCTGAATTTCTATGATTTCAGCTACATAAATTCACCGGAACTGTTTCAAATTACGTACTCGAAACTCGTAATGGGTCCTACAGCATATTACGGAAAATTGTCTATGCAGGTCCATGTCTTCGTATAGCCCCTAGATATCGGTATCTCCCTATATTCGCGCATTTTGATGATTTTAGCGATTTTATTCACGGGAATTGTTTCAAATTTCGCATTTCAAATTCGTAATGGGTACGACAGTCTGTGACGGAAAATTGTCTCTGCAGGTTCACGTCTTTGCAGAGCCCCCATATTACGATACCTCCCTATATTCGGTATTTTGCTGATTTCACCGACACTATTCACCGGAATTGTTCCAAATTTCGCATTAGAAATTCGTAATGGGTACTACAGCCTATGACGAAAAATTGCCTATGGAGGTCTTGGTCTTTGTATAACCCCCATATAACAGTACCTTCCTATATTTGGCATTTTGATGATTTTACCGACACTATTCACTGGAATTTTTCCAAATTTCGCATTACAAATTTGTAGTGGGTACTACAGCCTATGACGGAAAATTGCCTATGCAGGTCCAGTTCTTCGTATAGCCCCTAAATATCGGAACCTCTCTCGGAATTGTTTAAAATTTCGTCTTTACTACAACCTGTGACAGAAAATTGCCAATGCGAGTCCACGTCTTCGTATGGACCCCAAAATAACGGTAACTCCCTATATTCGAAATTTTTAAGATTTAAACAGAAATTTTAACGGATTCTATTTTTTATATTTTTTATTTATCTATTATTGTTATTTTATTATACCCTACACCACAAGGTGGTCAGGGTATTATGTCTTTGTGCATTTGTTTGTAACAGGCAAAAGGAAACGAGATAGACCCATAGTTACTTTTGAGAATCTGCATAGAATCACATTCTGTGTCGATTTATGCATATCCGTCCGTCTGTCCATGTATTTTTGTGAACAAAGTAGAGGTCGCATTTATTGCCTGATCCAGCGGAAATTTTGCACAAATCATTTGTTTGGCCCAAGGACGAAACCTATTGAAATTGGAGATAATCGGTAAAAATTTAGATATAGCTCTCATATATATCTTCGTACGATTTGCCTTTTATTGCGTACCAAACGTGTAATATCAGCCCGAATAGTATGGAATTTTGCACATACAACCAAGTTAGGCCTGAAAATAAGTATGCCAAATTTGATCGAAATCGGTTCAGATATAGCTATAGCTCTCATATATATTTATCATCCGATTTGTTATTTTTGTCCTCCGCAGCCGTAATATGCACTCTGTAACAACAATATTTGGGGAAATATATCAAATACAGCTTAGAAATACCTTTGCTAAATTTCATCGAGATCGGTTCCGATTTGGATATATCTCCCATATATAACTTCGTCCGATTTACCTTTTCTGGTGCACCAAACGTCTAATATTTGTCCAAATGGGATGAAATTTGACACATGCGACCGAATTGAGTCTAGAAGCTAGTATGCCAAATTTGGTGAAAATCGGTTCAGATATAGCTATAGCTCCCATATAATCTGTTCTTCCGATTTGTTATATTTGTTACCCACAGCCGAAAATATGCACTCCGTAACAACGATATTCAGGGAAATATATCAAATGCAGCTCAGAAATACCTTTGCTAAATTTTATCGAGATCGGTTCGGACTTGGACATATCTCTCATATATAACTTCGTCCGATTTAGCTTTTCTGGTGCACCAAACGTCTAATATTTGCCCAAATGGGATGAAATTTGACACATTCGATATTCAGGGAAATATATGAAATATAGCTCAGAAATATCTTTGCCAAATTTTATCGAGATCGGTTCAGATTTGGATATTTTGCACCAACTGGGCAATATAAGTCCGAATTTAAAAGATACAAATGCTTCGGTATATTTAGTCCCTTGAACTTTAAATTATAATTATAATCATAGCGTGTATGATTGAATTCTCCCATAAAAACAATTAATTGTTATGTGGAGCTCCACTAAATTAGCAAAGTGGTGTAGGGTATCATAACGTCGGCCCCGCCCGACTTTAGGACTTTCTTTACTGTTTTTTTTTAATTTTCTAAATTCGTTCCAACTTACTGCTTTTTAACTTGTTTCCTACTTTTTATTATTTTCGGAATTTTTAAATTTTTTTGCTCGCTTAAAGTACAAATTTCAGCGAACCTGTTTCGTCGCTCTGTAACTGTATAGTACTATTCGTACGCTTTTAGTAATATTTTTCACAAATCTTTTGCAACATGATTCGTAGCTTTTACCTCATGGTACTTGTCGTACCTTTTTTGGTACTTGTCGTACCTTTTGGTGCTTTTCGTACCTTTTGGTACTTGTCGTACCTTTTTTGTTACTTGTCGTAGCTTTTGGTACTTGTCGTACCTTTTGGTACTTGTTGTACCTTTTTGTCGTACCTTTTTTGGTACTTGTCGTACTTTTTGGTACTTGTCGTACCTTTTTTGGTACTTTTCGTACCTTTCTAATTCGAATTTCGAAAAATTCCATTTGTCTATCCCCTGATGATGACATTAAAATTTATCTTCATATCCTGGCGATAATTTCCCAATTTTGTATTTAATTAATTTTTATTTTTTACTTAATTAAAATTAAATAATATTTTCTCGTTTTTTACTCACCTGTGCACAGGCCAAATGTACGGGTGTTGACAAATCATGCTGTTGCGTCGATATCTTCGCTCCCGACTTCAGGCATAGCTTTACGGCCTTTATATCGCCACCATGGACAGCCGAGTGCAGCGGTACATTACCCTCTGAATCGTAAAAGGATATCATCTCTTCGCGTGGGCAATTACGTTGTTCTCCCCACTTCGAGGTCAAAAAGTAATCCGTAGGAGAGGAGAGAAAATAGAGGTTAGTTGAAAAATATGATTTTTAAAAAATATTTTTAAAAATTTTTTAATTTTTTCTTAAATTCTAGAATTATTTCAAATTTTCCTAAGTGTGGGAAAGGGACACATTAATACCAGGACTACGTTTAAGGACAAAAGGATATTCTACTTTGGGGTGAGTTGGCTAGGACCAGTCATACGTTATTGACACTCAGTTAGACAGACGGATTGGAGGTGCAACACAGAGACGTTTAATTGCTGACAGTTTGGGTTTTTAAGATTTCCTATTTTTTATTTTTTGGAAATCGGGAGAAAGGAGATAAGGGTCTTTAAGGGGGTAAGAGTAATTTCGCTGACGATGAAAGTTAAATGGTTGTCTAACATTTTCTATTTCATTGACTCCTGGTTTTCTTTTCTTGTCTCGTTTACTCTTTGCTACTGATTGCTGCTATTTGTTTACCCTCCACCATACATAGTATGGAGGGTATATTAAGTTCGTCTTTCCGTTTGTAACTCATCGAAATAATAATTTTAGACCCGTTCGTCTGTTGTAATCATGCTACAGTCTAAACGGATTAAGATAAGAAGCTAAAATTTTGCACCGATCTGTCTTTTTTTGTCTGCAGGCAGGTGAAATTCGAAGATGGGCTATATCGGTCCGCGATATCGTATAGCCCTCATATAACGGTACCTACATTTTTCAATGGAATTGTCTGAAATTCTACACAAGGAGTTCTCCGTGAGGACTTTACCCCCTGAAAAAAATTTTCTATATAAGTCCAGGATTTCGTATAGCCCCCATACAATGCTGCCTTCCGATATTCGGTATTTTGATAATTTTAGCCACATTTTTCAATGGAATAGTCTGAAAATCCACACTAGGAGTTCTCTCTGAGTACATTGCCCCCTAGAAGAGAATTGTCTACATAGGCCAACGATTTAGTATAGCACCCAAATAACGCTACCCCGAGATATTCGGTATTTCCAGGATTTTCCTGACATTATTCAACGGAATGGCGTCAAATTTCGTATTTGAAGTTCGCAACCTATGACGGAAAATTGTCTATGCAGGTCCATGACTTAGTATAGCCCCCCATACAACGGTAGCTCGCTTTATTCGGTATTTTTATGATTTAAGTGACATTATTCAACGGAATTGTTTCGAATTTCGAATTTGAAAATACTTATCTACTTTTACTTTCGAAAATACTTATCCAGCACCACGTCTTTGTATAGCCCCCATAATAAAGGTTTTTATTTGAGCGGTATTTCTCGATGGATTTTTTTTGAAATTTTTTAAGTTCTATTCCAATGATGGAGGGTATAAAAAGTTCGGTCCGACCGTACTTAGCTGTTTTTATACCCTACACCACAAGGTGGTCAGGGTATTATGTCTTTGTGCATTTGTTTGTAACAGGCAAAAGGAAACGAGATAGACCCATAGTTCCTTTTGATGATCTGCATAGAATCACATTCTGAGACGATTTATGCATGTCCGTCCGTCCGTCCGTCTGTCCGTCTGTCTATGAATTTTTGTAAACAACGTATAGGTCGCATTTATTGCCCGATCCAGATGAAATTTTGCACAGATCATTTGTTTGGCCCAAGTATGAATCCTATTGAAATTGGAGATAATCGGTCAAAATTTAGATATAGCTCCCATATATATCTTCGTCCGATTTGCCATTTATTGTGCACCAAACGAGTAATATCAGCCCGAAATGAATGGAATTTTGCACGTATTACCAAATTAGGCCTGAAAATAAGTATGCCAAATTTGATCAAAATCGGTTCATATATAGCTATAGCTCCCATATATATTGTTCATCCGATTTGTAATTTTTGTCCTCCGCAGCCGTAATATGCACTCTGCAACAACAATATTTGGGGAAATATTTCAAATACAGCTCCGAAATACATTTGCCAAATTTTATCGAGATCGGTTCAGATTTGGATATAGCTCCCATATATAAGTTCGTCCGATTTACCTCTTATTGTGCACCAAACGTCTAATATTTGTCTAAATGGGATGGAATTTGGCACTTACGACCGAATTGAGTCTAGAAGCTAGTACGTCAAATTTGGTGAAGATCGGTTCAGATATAGCTATAGCCTCCATATATATTGTTCATCCGATTTGTTATATTTGTTACCCACAACCGTAATATGCACTCCGTAACAACGATATGCAGGGAAATATATAAAATATAGCTCAGAAATATATTTGCCAAATTTTATTAAGATCGGTTCAGATTTGGATATAGCTCCCATATATATTTTTTCGATTTTAAATTATTTGTGCACCAAATGGGCAATACAAGTCCGAATTGAAAATATACAAATGCTTCGGCATATTTAGTCCTTTGAACTTTAAATTATAATTATAATCATAGCGTGTATGATTGAATTCTCCCATAAAAACTTTTAATTGTTATGTGGAGCTCTACTAAATTAGCAAAGTGGTGTAGGGTATCATAAAGTCGGCCCCGCCCGACTTTAAGACTTTCCTTAGCTGTTTTTTAACTTGTTTCTATTTAAACGCTTTTGCAAATTGTTGTCTACGAAAATTGCTTCGAATTTCAATCATTCATTTAGTTCTATTTTTTAAAGGCTCAGACATTTCCCACCCTAAACTCCTTTGCACCATCATGTTTGTGTTGTTTTGCAAAGAATCTTAACTCGTTCAGCAATTTATTCCCCATTTGAGCCACATTATTTGTTGAGCATTTGCAAAAGTGTTGAGTATGTAGTTTCACTCCTTGCCTATCTTAAGGATAAGAAATATTTTTTCGGGAGAGTATTTCTTGGAAATGTGAGCAAGTTGTGGTTTTTGTGGCATCCTGATTCGCAAAATTTTACAAGAAATTTAAAATTAAATTAAAATGATGTTACAAAAACCAACATATTCAACGAAGTTGGGATGTGTAATGAAAATTTAATGTTTGTATTAAAATAATGTTTGTATTAAATAAAAGGATGCTTTTCTTTAGAAAACTACCAAAAATAAAAAAAAAAAAAAAACATAAAAAGAGAATTTTTGAAGATTTTCCGTCAATTAAAGAATTGAAGGATTTTTTTCGCAGATACATCTGTTAGATTTTTTTATTCATAGAAGAATCGCTATCTATATAATTCCTATTTATAGAGGACTTTTTGGCTCTGTATACAAAAGATCCTTAAATAGTTACGTATCCATAGAAATCATCTAAAAGTTTTTCCATTTACCTCTGAAGAATGAAATGCCCTTTGAAAGATCTTCTATTTATATAAGGACGGTTTTTTTTTGCAGATACCTTTGTTAGATTTGTAAAAAGTTTTCCATCCAATCATCCATCTCAGCCAATGTTCGACTATTTTAAACTATTATGGCTTCTGTTATGAATTTGCAAACTCTTGACCCTCTATGGAGTGGGTTTGGAAAGAATGATAAGAGACATATATTTAATGACAATTTATGACAGATAAAAATATTGAAAATTTTGTTCCTTTGTGGGTGAGGTATCGGAAGGGGTTCACAGATATATGTTTTTATGTTTTTCACAATTTTGAACCCTATGTGGGGCGGGGGTAGCAAAGAAATGGTCCGATCTCTACCATCTTTATAACAGATCCTGTGTTGATGGAAATATTGAGATGTACCATGTTTGGAATGGAATCGGATGTTGATTTCGCTATTTATGAACTTCATGGATATTCAACATTTTCAGAAGAAGTGGACCGATATATTCCGTCTTACTACCAGATCTTGGGTTTATAAAAATAGTATGATTTGCAAAATATGAAGACAATTGGATCTTACATCGTATTTTTTAAGAGTTATAAATATTCCAAATTTTGACCATTTGTGGGAGAGGCACTTGATGGAGTGGACCAATGCTATCCATTTTGGCACGAGTCTTAGAACTCACGTAAATTTTAGGATTTGCAAAATTAGAGCAAACTTAGATTATTGCTTCCATTTCTGTGCAGAAAATATTTTTTTTGCAAATTTCGACCATTTTTGGGGGGCGGTACCAGAAGAAGTAGACCTTTTTCGCCCATTTTAACACCAGACCTTGGGTTAATATAAATATTGGAATGTGTGAAATTTGAAGACAATCGGACTCTAACATCACATTTTATCAGAATTGTAATAATTCAAAATTTTGACCTTTTGTGGGGGAGGATATTGTCCATTTTCACACCTGACCTAAAAATCAGATTATCGTTTCTCTTTCTGTACATAGAAAATTTTTTTTGAAAATTTCGACCTTTTGTGGTGGAGGTATTAGAAGGAGTGGACCGATATTGCCCATCTCCGAACTCGATCTAAGTTTGACAAAAATATTACGATGTACCCAGTTTGGACCAAATCGGATACTCCCTTCGAGAGTTATCGTGCGCACCAGCCAGCCAGACAGACTAAGGGAAGGACATCACTAGATCGACTCCAAATGTTCTGAAACGAATTTGTTTCAAAGAGACCTAGGGTGAAAAACCGTTATTGGCCGGTTCAAATGATATATACCCTCTCTAGCCATATGACTGAGGATAAATTATAACTCTTATAAAATGTGATGTAAGAATCGGATTGTTTTAAATTTTCACACATCCCAATATTTTTATAAACCCAAGATCTGGGTTATGGTGAAATATATCGGTCCACTCCTTCTGGTACCTCCTCCATAAGAGCTCAACATTATGAATAACCAAAACGATCATAAAATCCGAACTTCGAAATTTACACATCCCAATATTTTTACTAATTAAAGATTTGTTGTAAAAATGGAATATATCGGTTCACTAATTCTGGTACCTGCCCCACAACGGGTCGAAATTTTAAATATCCATGAAGCCCGTAAAATCCAAAATGAACATTTTCGATGCCTTTCAAAGTCGACACATCTCAATATTTCTGTCAACAAAAAATCAGGTGTGAAAATGGATTATGTTGGACCTCTCCTTCTGGTACATCCCCCACAACGGATCAAAATTTTG